ATGAAAACCCCTTGAAAAACTGACTTGAAAAAATGCTCTACATAATACAATATCTAAATCCAAAATGTAACAAAAAATAAGGTATCTCGATATAGTTTGATTGGAGCAAGACTTCTTCGAGAAATTTGTTTACATATACAAAAAAAAAAAAATCTACATCATAGTGTAACCAAATACATTCATCAATCCGCTCAAAACTAAAATATAAACATATAAGTATGTTTATATTACATAGGAAATAGGAATATAACTCAAGTCCATACTATTATATCGCATTCTAAAAATTTCAGAAGGTTTTAAAGTTTCTCGGATTTTTATAGTACTTATATACCTATGGATATATAAGTAGGTATACCTTTTGACATTAAGCTAGGATTTTGACCAAATTTATGAACGTTCGCCGCGTTTTCAATGCAAATCTCATACTGTCGTCCTTATAACACTCGCTCCAGGGTAGGTATACGAAATCAACTTCTTTATACTTAGGAATATTATAATACTTCAACGGGTTTATTATTTATTGTTATTATTATTGTTATTTTTTTTTTTTAAACCGCACGAATATAAAACATGATGCGTATCTTTCTCGACATCGTCATAATAATAAGGATCTATTTTTTATTTTAGAATTTGAATTTAACGCAAATGCTACCTATTAATAAACTACAAGATATGTGTTCTTTCTCTTCTCAAATCCCCTTTTTTTGCATTTTGTTTGTCATAACTCAGAAAATATGAATTTTCCGTTTAAAACTACTGTATTCAAAAACAATTGCAATATTCAGTATATTTTTTTTTACAAAAAGTGAACCTCCAGTCAAATATACAAGCATTTATGTTTAGTCTATCAATTTTATACACAGAGTACCTATCAAAATTACGGAAATAAATAAAAACAATAGCAAATTAGTTAAAAATCATAGTGAAATCTAAAAAAAAACATTGAATATAACAAATGTAATGACGACAATTTGGAAATTATAGCGACGGAATTCTGCTGCGTATGTGTTTTTTATTATTATTTTTTTTTGTTACTAATATACTTCATTTAAATTGGTCAACTATAATGTTATATTTAATAAATTGGAAAGCCATTAATTCGTGTAAAATAAAGTATCAAAAAATGAAATATTTTTCCTCGAAGGCTCGTAAAAAAAAAAAAAAATGACGTACAAGTTGATCGCGATTTTCAATGATAGCATTGTACAAATATACACAATTATTTTTATCACTCTCGGCCTGAAAGGATAAATGTATTAATTATTTGTGTAATTATAAACGTATTATTTTGTTTTACATATTTATACGCAAACACAGATGACAAAATATTTTGGAATATTGAGAGCAATAAAACGCGCCTATTATTATATCATACTTTTTTTTTAAATATCGTGTTATATAATTTTTTTTCAAAAAAATCAAATATACACGGCGCCCTTTTATAGGAGTTCTAGGGGTTTCTACTCTACAATATTGATCATTTTACCATTATAATGTTATTCGTAATGCGCGCACCGAGTTGTGTTGAAATTATTGCTCAGGAAATAGATACTGATCGTGACAACCGTTTAAGTCCTTTTAGGGTTCTAAATACGAGTTTGGAACACCTTATATCCCCGTCGGCTCCGTCCGTATATACAGTTAGTAATGCAGTGAAATGATCCATTTAAGTGGCAACACTTGATATTTCGAAAAGTATAGAATTTTTTTCTAGAAAAATAAATAATATATGAATAGATGTAGTGTTGGCTTAGATACATTTTGTAATTGAAATACTTGGTATCCGCCAACTCACTGACGAGAATTTCCAATTTTAAATGCGGTTAATGGGAGAGGTGTATACGAGTAGTGGGATATTGTTAAAACGTCTTGCTGTCTCACAAATGATGTTGTACTACTATCCCCATACATACGGCTCCCAGAACTCTCGGATTTGTTCGGTTAGGAAAAATTGAAAAATGATACCGTCAAAGTTTTCGGGGGGGGGGAAATCAATAATTTTAAAACAACGTCTTCCGCCTCCGGGCCTGCCTGCGGCGAGTATAATTCGGAAGTTTGAAGAATTAGAGGTAGTAAATAGTCAATACGGTGTATAATTGATTTAATACGTTCTGTCTGGAAAGAAAAACAAAATGCCGCGGAAATCGAATCCCGCACAATGTTAATAATAATAATAATAATAATAACGAGTTCAAAGTGAACTTATCGACGGGGAATCCGAAAGGAAATTAATAAATCAGTTATGGATTGAAGCCAAACGGAAAAAAAAAATATATATATATATCCACGCGGTGCTATCACCGAAATTATTACCGCGCGCTACAAATATTATATTATCGTATTGTAACAATTATTCTAGCCGACGATGAATAATTATTGTGCGCAGTGATAATATATATTATTGTTCTCGGTCCTCGTGAATTATTCATACCTACCTATTATAGAGAACGTCATAACAATATATTAAATTTGTTATTCATTAATTATTCGGACGTTATAATAGTGCGGATGCCTAAAATATAATATTAAATAATCGAATGCAACGCCGGTATAACAGGTGTATAGGGCTGCATAATATCGTCGGTATGAATATTAACGGTTAGGTTTTTAATAATTGTAGGTGTACGAAACGTACACCGTTATTTAATCATATATATATATGATTTTATTGTTGTGTAAAACAGACGAACTAATTGAATTTTGGACGACGTTTGAAAGCTATAAATAGCAGAGGCATTTTCACCGGATACCATATTAAACGTTACCGTCATACGACGGGAAAAACCACGGATAGGTAGCTCCAACTTCGGTCAACGTGGAAATTTCGATATCGATTTATTAAAGTCCGTTAAATTTTATACGAAATCCGTTATTAAATAAAAGGCCGATAAACCCGTCTTTAATAACCAAAGAGATTACATAATTTAAATTAATGGTTTAAGTAGCGGGTGCCTGGTACACTTAAAAGCGGGAAATAAAACGTTTTTCTGAAAATTCAGCTTTTTTTTTTGGCGTAAATTTACCACGTAACTTTACAGCGTACCACCGTGGCATGATACAATAACATACAGTGCGTTTCACTCAAATAGTGACAAGAAATATTTCTGTCCCGCCATCTCGGATTGATTTAAATGAGGTTTTTCAAGAGAAGACAGGAAATTATTGAAATACACATTTTGTATGTATTTTCAAATTTCTTACCTTTTCGGTGTGCATATGCGCAATAAAACTTGCATTTTTTTTTTTTCAATGGAAAAAAATATTTTTAACATTTGATATGAATAAACCATTCATTTAACAACTTATATAAATAAACTTTTCCCAGTTGGTCAAATTTTTAATTAAAATGATTGAATTTTTCAACAATAATTTTACAATTTTTAAATTCCTATGCGGTTACATGTAGTTTATTTGCTCTAGGTGGTTTCACTGTCATAATTTCATATTTTTAAAAGTTTATTTGTAATAATTTACACGCGTGGAGCACATTTGTTGAGAAATTTACTCGGAAATACCGAGAACCTATTAAAGAACCGTTCTATTGTATTGTAAACATTTATTAGTTATTGGTTATTAAGTGAGCTTTATCGGTTGGCCAAATGGATAAAACTTTTGTCATACGCAGATATTATACAAGTATTTTTAGATATTTTTTTTTATTCCACTAAATGTTATAACATTTATAACAACGATTTGATCATTCACAAACAGAGAATTTTAATTATCGGATCAGAACATTCATTTTCGTGTTCATATTTTTCTATAATTGAGATTCATATTATACAAAAATGGCTACCCATATTGAAAAATTGGATATGGTTTTAATTTTTAATGATGACTGATGAGTATTTTTTGCAATAAACTGTTTAAAATAAAATTAGTTTAATAATAATAAAATAATTTTGTTTCAACTTTAACTATCTGTATTTCGGCCAATTTTCGAGGTAAGGAAAATATTATTTATAAAAGTTGCTCTAAAAAAAAAAAAAAAAAAAAAAGGTTTATCCAAATCAAGTGATGGAAATAGGTATTTCCATATAAAAAAGTTTTATCGCGCATTCCCACGTTGAAAGAGTAAGAGATTTGAAAATTCATACAAAAAATGTATTTCAGTATTTCTTATCTTATTTTAAAAACCTTATTTCAATCCGATGTCACTAAACAAAAATATTTCGTGTTATAATTTGAATGAAACACACTGTAAAAATGTGTTTTTTATACGTAGTACATTTTTCGGCGTTTATTTTTAAAGGCAATTGTAGCCGTAAAAATTGTTTGAGTTTTTTTGTTTTCATTTTGTGTTTCGATAAAAATGTTCTGGTTTTGTATAAATGCTCGAAAATTGTATAGTAATATTGCCGTTATTTATACTTTACTTATAATTTGTATAAGGGTCGCAAGTAGGAATTTACGATAAAAACTCGAACAGTTGTAAGAATACAATTTATTTTGCGCATAGTGAAAAATTAAAAATACAAATTCAAATTTAAATTTATCGACAACATTTTTCGTTCAAATTGTATCCTTCAAAAACAAATCGTTTTTCGTTGGCGATGATTTATCGTTGCATGATATGTAAACTAGAATAAAAAGCCATATAATCCAAAAACCGTATTTTTCAGAACACAGAAAAATAAACTGTTAAAAAAACCGTAAAAAAAATTCAAAATTAATTTTTCTTCTGTCATTTACTAATTATGTTAAGGAGTTCAAAACTGCCATCGGAAGAAATATTTTAGTCGTTATTGATAATTGTTTTATGTGTAGTTTAATGTTTGAAACATGTTAAGTTTTGATATGAATTGAAATGGTACCTATATATTATGTTTTAATAAAATAGTTATAGTTATAGTTATAGTTATACTATAGTTATTAAATACCTATAGTTTTTATTTTTTAGACCATGTGATTTTTGATACGCGTTAAATAATGTTCAGTACATCAATACTTACATGATTTCATGATAAGATTTATCGGTTTTTGCACAATAAACCGTTATTTTTCGGTAAAATTTAGACCGGTTCTTGTGCGTTTTGAAACGACCCGATAGCAGAATAGGATTCACCTTCCAAAATCCTACACAGCAGTGTCGCTAACTATTATGTCCACTTTCGTTTGGGTTTTAATTCTACAGCCTACTCGTGTATACCTATATCGAGGGTAGACAATAGGTGACCCGCGGACGATATCTAGTCCACGGAGAGGAAACAAACGGCCCGTCAAAATTGTTTTAATATAATTCTGGTATTTTTGTTTTCGTCATTTGTCTCCATGTAGATCCAGAATATCCGAGCGTCCGAACGTAATCTATATTTATGACGTACTTGATATATTTTATGTATTTGTATATATTATTATAAAATTGTATACATATTCTATTCTATTGGATAATTAAATAATATTGTACAAAAATTGTGTTTTTATTACAAAAATAAATAAATTCACGTTTTTACTGGTGGTTTTGAGTACGACAAAACGCCAAATAAAGAGGTTGAACCTCTCTCTTAGAAACTAATTGCCGAACCTTGACTTATAAGAGAACCGAATCACCGGATATAATATTATCTCGCCTTGTCGACTTTCTGCCGACAGCGGCGTCCCTCCCGTCATCCAGCAGTAGCAGATCTTTTTGAAATTGCATCGCTTTATATTATCCCTACTATCCCTACTGTATATGTATCGTAATTATTAATGGCTGTTACGTATCGCAATTGCCGCGCGTATCGGAGGCAAGAATAATTTGTTCCTGTATATTATTATTATTATTATTGTACACGTGACGCAGTTTTCCGTTTGAGCAGCGCACATGATCTCGTTAGTCTGTGCATCTAAAATATACTCCGATGCGCGTTATAATATAATAATAATAATAATATTATTATTATTATTATTATTATACCCCGTGGGTTCAATTAATAATATTATTATTATTCCAATTTGTCGGTGCAGGTACATTATATTATATTATTATAATATTGTGTTCCCTGTAACCGACGTACGGTTACGCTTCTTTTGTAATTATTCACGTGACAGCAGAATTAATTCCGGCGCCATAGTTGTTAAACACGATAATAATAATTAAACAGGATCTCCGGCATACGCGGTAGAAGGCACGGTATTAAATAACAAATTTGATTTCCGAGCCACTGAATTTTTTTTATTATTATTATTATTATTACTATAAATGATATAATGTTATTATTGTTAAAGTCGGCCGAATTAATGCGCAATATTAACCGAGACGAGTTGAGTTTCGATTAAATTAAGTCGAGTGAGTGGTATTATATCAGTTCTGAAAATGGGGCGTAGAGATTGTAAATTGAATATCGCGTAGAATGAAATGAATAATCAAATGTTTTACGACACTATAAGTTAAAAATTAAAATCGCATCAACTCTTAAATTTTTAACTCGTTAGAGGCTTCTATGCACGAGTGTTTACACTTGTATCGGACGATTATCGTGTTTAGATAATAATAATGATAAAAATCTGTCCTACGATAATACGGACGGGAGCAGACACTCATACAGTATTGTATATCTGTAAGCTACGATAAACAGTTGCTGACGAAAAAAACGATTCTGAGCGGAGTACGGTTGATAGTGTCGCTTTGCACACAAACAATCTATATATCATATTATGGTAAAATAATTACAAATGTATTTCGTACATTATCCCATTTTTTCCCGGTTTTTCCAATTTATTCGAAAACTTCCCGGGAAAATTAAAAAATTACCTCCTTAAAATACCTCTCCAGTCAGATTTACTTTAAGAAAAATCGCTACCATTAAAATCGGAGCAAAATCGCCGGTAGTAAAGTTGTCCACAGAAAAAAAAATAAACATCATCATAAAACCAACTCGCTCCGCTCAGAATCTAAATACGGCTTTCACGACGGAATTCGTGTTTAGAGTTTTAACCTTTCCGACATAAACTCCGGAATACCGGGTACGATATAATGACATTGCGGTAATAACTATTATCCGGACGGACCGGTAAAGTATCGCGGGTTTTACTTGGAATATTCGTGTTATACATAAGCACCTAATACTTATATTACAATAATATATATAGGTTTAGACCTATACGTTTCAAGTGCCAATAGTTAGCCGATCGCCCGGGGCAGTACGTACTCGCTATAAAGTAGTATTTATTTTCGGTTTAAAAAGCATCCATAATCGTATATAATCGTATTCCGCCGATAAATAAATAAACGGCAGCGTTAAATGTTATAGAAATAAGTTACGCGTTCCCCGTCTACCTCGTTTGTGTGTAAAATATATGTGTATACCGAACCTACTTAGAAAATCGAATTCGGCGAGGACGCTTTTTTTCCCCTCCCCCGAGCGAAATTAAATATTTCATGCGTCCAAAGTGCGCGGACCCGTCCGTTACGACCCGACAATAATATATTATACCGGTTAGGTTAGGTATAGGTACATTTAGGTACATTATAATATTATATCGCGTATAGTATTTATGAAACATTATTTGTACTTCTGAAAACTACGGGAGGGAGTGAATGGGGAGGGGAGCGGTATTTACCGAATAAATATTTTTACGGAACGTGTACATGTATATACTGGAGGGTAGGGGGGCGTTTGTTTGGTGTAACTTTTTTTTTGTCTTTTTTTTTTTTGTACTTTATATTATTTTTTACGCGGCGACGGTATAGGTACACCAAGTCGGTTTTACGTTCGGATTCGCGAGAGCGAAAAAAAAAACTAAATAAAAACGACGACTGGTCGGACGGCCGTATATGTTTACCGTGCGACGTAATGTCGTAATTTCGAAAAATGCGGTAAATCGCATTGGATTTAGCGTACCTTCGAGTTTGGAAATCCGTAACGATACATTGTAGTCGAATACGAGAGCTATTATCGTGGAAATACAATACATATTATTTGTAATTTTCCAAAACCTTTTATGTCTATTTTAGATTCTGAGCGGAGTGAGTATAATTATGTAAATTGGTTTTACAATGACGTTTATTTTTTTTTTGTACTGTGAACGACTTTTCTGCCAACAATCTTGCTGTAATTTATCAAGTGTAGTACCTTCCTTTTCTGAAAGGAAATTGTAAAACAAATCATTTTTTTTTTTTTTGTTGCAATTCAGTTAAATATTCATATAGACTTGTAAATCGGACTGAAAACTAATGCTTGTTTTTTATAGATATGGAAAAATTTTCAAAACATTTGAGCCATGTTTGAGTATTCGGTAGGTATTCTGTGGATAAAATCGTTAGTCTAAACAGAAATGCTTAAACATTTGACAGGGAGTCCATTATAAGTTGTACTTTGTAGTATAGAATAAGTTGAATTTAATGTAGTATTTTTATTATTTTTTTATATGAATTTTAATTTTGACGAAATTTGTATATATTACGGCATTTTAAAACATGTATAACTGAACTCCATTCAGAATCGTTTTCCTTTAGCAATGCATACAGATATATATCAAATTTCCCTCTATAATACCTACCTTCCCAACTTCTCACCCTCAAAGTGACCCACTTATCGTGCGGAGTATGTACGTCTTTTTATATAATATTAAGATTCGCTAATAAAACGGTAGAGGTCGTATAAAATATGTCGTAACCAAATGCAACCAGCAAACGTTATGTTCGACAAATAGTGCGTCAGTTCATCTATCATTCCGTGTACGTTTCATCTGCAGGTGGGCAGGGTAAAAGGGCGTACACTGTTTGGACGACCTAACCGAAATGTGAAGGTCCGTTTGGGTGAATAGTCGTATACCGTTTGAACGAGTGGTTTATTTCACCAGATACACCATCGAATACGTGAGAATAGGTTTACAGGTAAATTAATTCGTATATTATATTGTATAGCGTTCAAGTCACATGCAATATACAGAAATAAATAATTAATAATCGTTTTCAAAAATATTAAAAACGGTCAATGTTCATACCGTGTCTAGAAAATGCTAATAGAAGTTAACTTAATACAGATAAAAAAAAATAACAAAAACACCAAACAAAATCTAACACATAACGAAACCGACACCTTTTCCGTTTTTTCGCCGATTGTTAAAGAAAATATACCGGGGAAGGGCCGGGGGACAAGCACTGTCTAATACGCCAACAGGATCGAAAACGCTACAAAAAAAAAAAAAATTGTCTCGTCGTTTCACAAGAGTTCTGGCAGAAAACACTGGTTCAGCGGCACCGAGAAACAGTTTTGGCGCGTTGGGTGCGCCTCGTTTCGTCCGATCAACGTACGCCGTCGTCGGGGGAGGTGTGTCAGCGACCGGCATCAGTCTTTTCGCGGGATTCCCGTAAACGGATTACCGCGGCGGCCGACAGGCAGACAGGGGCCACGGCGGAGCCGCGATGACGGCGGCAGCCGCGGCGCACGCGAGAGTAGACGATTAAGAGCAGATAAAAGTTTTCGCGCGCGCTCCTCTACCCGTCCTCTCACACGTGGATATCGAACGGCCGCGGGCCCGCACGTGGTGGGGGAGGTACGCGGAGAAACGAAAAAAAAAATAAAATAAAATATACGTATCGGCTTGTCTACGGGAATTATTATTACTGTACACTCGCGTGGTTCGTTCTTACGTAAATTCCGCGACGACGACGACGACGACGACTACGAATGACGTACGCGTACGCATAATATTCCCATTCGGCGCAGTTATATACCGTAAATCTCCGGCATAAAACAGTAGAAGAAAAAAAAAATATATATATATATAATAAAAATAAAAAAACATTAAAAAAATCCCGAAAATCTGCGAAAGAATGTACTGTGCAGTACATATATATATATATATATATATATGTATTTTAGTGTATATGTTTGTACGTATGTGTGTGTACATACGTCGTACGAAAAAGTAAAGGAAAATAATTCAAACAGACGAAGGTGTGAAAAAGACAAAAAAAAAAAAAAAACCGCCGAGAACGTGAAAATATGCCGTTCGCCGCGTGTGTACAAGGGGAGGGGGAGACTGGAACGGAGGTAATATGGCAGCGATGGAGGTATATAATGCGCCAACGACCCGCGACTTATTGCGTTCGAAAATAATGTCGTAAATTCACGAACGTCACCGGACAATACTATAATATTATTATTATATATAATATTGTTGTAGCGGATTTCCCGCGCGAACTTATAATAAGTTCTACGACGAAAATCGTCGCCGAAAAGTGTCTAAATATTCATTTCGATTAGGCGACACATTGGTTTTACCATACTATGTGTGGTACGATTTTTCTTTTCTTTTATCGAATTTCCGTCTAAAACAGATACTATTGCACTGTTTATCCCCCATCCCACGTGAATAATAATAAAAAGAAAAATGAATACAAAATATAAATTTTGTAAAAATCATAATATTATTGTTTACTACCTATACGTATTTATGTTTCGCGTAAACATTATCGTACATATCATCGTGTGGAAAAAGATATAGACACGATACTTTTTTTTATAATATTATATTATTTTATCACTGAAAATTAAAAAAAAAAAAAAAAAAAACTTATTATTGTCACTATTACGATAAACAGCTAGTGGTTGTCGATCGGTTTTATTTATTGATTAATTAATGTCATATGTGCATACCTCATGGGTTATGACTTTAATTAAATAATGCCCAGAATGGGTAAATTTCATTTTTAGGTCAACGGGCCACAGCACGCCTAGCATAACCTGTGAATGCGCCTATAAATGTATGCATATTTCCCCCCCTATACATTTGGATACTTTAGCGGTTCCATGTAGACCAAAATAACTGAAACTCGGAAATTACATGTTTTTTTTTTTTTTTTTTTCTATAGGCGTATTGGAGTGATAACACATTTTGGTCGAATTTCAATATTAACTTCGCCGAGCAGTTGTTGAGAGCAGTGTGTTTTTTTTTAAATTCCCTATTTTATGTTTACACGCTTTCACGTATCGACATATTGTACCGCGCTTTTTTCCGGTTTTCCCTACTAGAACTAGATCAGTCAGATTTCCTTTCAGAAAAATGTGCTATCATTAAAAATCGGATTAAAAATTGCTGGTAGAAAAGTTATCTGTAAAGAAAAAAAATAAATATTATTGTAAAACTTATACATTCCTCGCTCCACTCAGAATCTTAAATCTATGTACATGTGCAATAAAAGTTGTAACGATATAATTAACGTCTACAAGTATATACACGTGTATACACGTATTCCACGTTATTTTTCACGTATTTTCACTGCGTATTCACATGAATAACCACTAGAACATGTGAACATAGATATTTAATTCATGAGTATTACGTATACGCGAGTGAAAATTTCTCATTCTCATGTACACAACCTCCGTTTCCACCAACTTATTGATTCACGTGTTTAATCGAGATTTACAGTATTTTTTTTTTTTTTTTTATTACTTTTTTAGCTTATTACACCATTATGATATATCCTCTAAATGAGACCAAAAACACGAAATTTTCTGAATGTACGGTGTAAATATAAAAAGATATGTCTTATGACGGTTTCAACAGTCTCGGCCAATTTTATGCACGGATTACATATTTTCGCAGGAAATAATGGTTTTTAATTACTCTTACTGACAAAAATATATAATAATAATTTTAGATCGTTAAAAAAAAAAGAAAAAATGAAACATTGTAACTGCGACAATAGTCTCGACTACTGGGAAATTCGAATCTGTTTTCTTTGTGGTTGAAATAAAACGTTGCGATACGGGAATATGTATGTATAATAACTGCGGTTACTGTTCAAATCAACTTGTTAATATTGTTCTACATTTATGCAATTTAATATAATCGTGAGTATCTAAAATGTCGACGGAATACTCCTATTTTTTTAACGTGGTACGATTTCCAAAATATTCTGTCGATTTTTGAGTTATTTATGGCTATTTGAAATTTTCAAATGTTTGGGTTGGTTTTTATTTTATGTGGGTAACTTTTTTTTGGCTTCGTGTTAATGCTCAAAATTTGATTACAAAGTTCTTCATACACATTGTTCTTATAATAATATACGGGGTGTAGAATAGTCCTGTTATGCTCTGTGTATAAAAATATCAAAAATGTGTAGTATATATTAATCATTTTTTTTTTCATATATATATATAAGCTTGTGTAGTTCAGATTTTAATGTAAATCGTAAAAATCGACAACGTTGCATGCGCACTATATATTTTTCATTTATGTGCATTTTTATTTTTTTGTCCCCATAAAAACGCGCAACAATTTCATATAAAAAGTTCATTATACTTGTAAATGAATGGTTAAAAAATATTCGAGCGTAATGACGACGTAATTTATTTATTTATTATTATTATTATTTATTTTTTTTTTTTTTTTTAAGATCGAGAGTACCTATTATATTTTGTCAAACTAAAAATAATAATATTTTTGTTTATGGGAAGGCATCTTCTGAGCTTAGTTGTAGGTTGTTAATAAGTATCTACTTGTTCATTGCTTATGAATTTTTTAAACGCCAAAAGCTCCGATCATAATATTCCCAGAGTCGTACCTATAATAATGTTATAAGATCGCTGTCGAATTTAGTCCTACAGTATTATATAAACTCGATTTTTTTTCGGCTTCTTTTGTGCCGTATACTATTGAGTACGCCAAATACTAAAATATAATAATAATATGTAAACCTACGCGAATTTAAAATCTACCTTCAATTTCACGGCGTTTTCTTGTCAAACGCTGCAAGATACCTAGGTATATAATTTCATTTCCACATCATCGTCATCGTCGTCGCGAACAAACACCGCGCCCCGTGTAATGTAATTACACCGTTTAATTCAAGCCTAAAGGAGCACAAAGCTGATTAAAAGCCGACTTTGAACCACACGCATAATGCGCGGTCACCGGCCAAAATAAATACACGTTTCGCTCCGCGCGTTTCGCGGTCCATTGTTTACAGGATAACTATTCAAAAATATACGAATTATACGTCTCGGAAATAACAAATATAGTAATATAATATATCATTATACGTTGATCGAAAACTGCAATCACCTACGAATTAAAACAATGACATTTCTGGCATAAGCGTTCACGCATGCAATAGCAATATCTGCGGTGTTTGATTGTGATGTTACCTACATGTATTTTTCGGAATGTAACCTCACGGATGAACATCAGCTATTTGACAGTATTAGGAAAAGATACCCGATAATAGATAACACAAAGAAATGTACGATAAATGTTAATTAAAAAAAAAATCAAATGAAATTATCTGACTTTAAACAATCAGATAAAACATGTGTGTATAGCAAAATATTAATATTTGATATTTACACAGAGTATTAGAAACGATAAGGATTATACACCTTAAATAAAACACCTGTGTAATGATATACACTTTGGTCAAAAACAGATTGAGAGAATATAATGTATACATATTTATATAAACGGATACGTAATAACGGCTGATAGTTCTTTGTAAGTTCAACTAAAAGTTTGCACGTTAAGTGTTTGGGTATGATTTGTCAAGGTCAAACTAGAGTTAAACGACTGAATAATCTGTTGACTACACAATCGCACAGCGGATTCACATCATATGACATTGTGGTATGACTATATTTTCATCAAAGTCCATTTCAAAATGACGGATATAATCTTATAGACCTGTGACCGACAGACATGACGAATTTTTTTTTTCCGTTTGAAAAATATAAACAATCTGCACAACTGCAGTTGGCGGTATGTTGGCGTTTCACGCTGTTAACAGTTATTGATACGACCAATGAGTAATGTCTAATTTTCCAAAGGGCAAAGAATAAAAAAAAAAAAAAAAAATAAAAATCGTTCCTGCAATAATGGTTATCGTATCGTTTCAACAGTCGTATACGTCAGCGTGGATTATACATTGTACATAATATTATAAAAACAATTATCATCCGGTAGGTTCGTTTGCTTTTTAATTAACATGTTCAAAACTAAATTTTGCAGAACACAATTAATGGCATGATTTTTTTTTTTTTTTTAATTAGAGACCCAACTTATTAGCGTTTTTCCGACCAATTTTTTTTTTCTGTTCGGTATAAAATTTCGAAATATATATTTAAATACGTTAGTGTAAGTTTACAAATCGTATTGTGTATTTTATTCATATTTTATTTTCACGCCGTGCGGGTGTCGACCGATACACACTCGTATTATATTATACAGCCACGTTAATTAAAAAGCAAAAAAAAAAAAATAAAAAAAAAAATGTGTCATCGATTATAATTGGCGATTGTAATACAATAGAATTAGTAATAATATAAAGGTATATGACAAAAAAAAAAAAAAAAAAAAAAAAAAAAAAAAAAACCGACTGTTACGATGAAATGAATACATTTTGAAAAATTAAAACGTAATGATTCGTTTTTTTATAATGGTACAGTGCAGTGTAGAATGCAGTCATCGAATCGTTACAAAGCAAATTCGTAAATTATGTACCAAAAACTGATGTATGTATGTTTATTTTTTTTGTAGACACACGACGATATGCATGGGTATTTTTCAAATTATATACGATCGGAAATCTCATCAGACGAAATACTAAAAATAATAATTTGTTTACCGTCCCTCGGGGTACGTGTATAATACTATCCGTGTTCATTTATTACCATTCGAATAATCGCAAATGTATAATGTTTTGACATGCAATTTTCCTGCAGACTGACTGTTATTGAACTGATTTGTTAATATTTGTTAGTTTTTTGTTCTCCCTAATAGTGACCAGGAGCAATGTTTTAAATTAACCGTGAAAAAATAAAAAATTCGTTGTAATAATATCTATTTTCTATTTGTTTTTTTAAAACCAAACGCATTTCACACTTTGGTTGGGCTATTCATTTTTAGATTAAGAGAGTTTGGAAGAACAAATTAAGGTTATTTAGTTTAAGTACATACTGAAACTAATTATAAATCATTGCAATAAAAAAAAAAAAAAAAAAAAAAAAAAAAACGATTTTGATGTTAGGTTTTACTCGTATATTATTGATCCTAGTTTTTCTCAATGTGGCCAAAAAAATGGCCTCAGAAATTAACAAAAAACAAAAAATATATATATTTGTTGCATTTTGGATTTAATTGGTATATTAGCCAGGTCATTTTTTAATTTCCAAGGGGTTCTCATAAAAGACTAAAACCGAAAAAGACGAAACATACAAACGGAAAAACTTACGGTATTAATATTTTCTTTGTTTTACATTTTTAAAATGCATGTTTCCTAACAAAAATCTTGCTATAATTAAAAAATGGTAAAAGTTCATTTTTTGAAGTATTATAGATCTTTTGTAGCGATTAAGAAAGCAGATTTCTTGAGTTTTCAAGTAGTTTTCATAATAATAAGGAAAAACCGAAAAACGAAACGCACAGCCTATCGGCATAAACGTCTTTTTTTTTTTTTTAATTTACACTTCCAATTTATATTGTGTATTATTCATAGATATACTAAAAATATGATATTGTACATAATTGTACATATTGTAAAATATTTGTATTGACTTCAAGAAATAATAAGTGTTTACTGTGTAATTCGTTGTATTCAATATGTATTTATTTTACTATTGTGTGACCTTTACATATTGTCGAATAAACAATACTATATTAATTGAGCTCCACTCAGAATCGTTTTTCGTTAGCAATTAAATTCGTTTTCAACCTTTGTCACCACGTAAATACGATTTAACAACAAGCAAAACATTAGTATCGCTATTTTATTATTTATGTAACTTAAACACATAATAATATTATACATAAATAATATATAAAATCGACATTAGTAAAATTAGTTTTATTGGACAGCATTTTCAATTTGTCGAAAAGACTTTAAGTTGGATTATATAAAGAACAACGATAATGGGTTTTCCACAATAATAATATAAAAAAAAAAACTTACTCGCGTATCTTGACATTGATAAATGTACAATTTAATAATTGTTGTTCTTTCCGGAATAGTGTAACGATTATCTACACTATTTGATCGTAGTTTTTAGTTTATATTTGTAGTAGGAAGGTACCTACGTTATCCTTTTTTTAAAGTTTAGTTTGATAGTTTCCAAATGGAAAAAAACGCAACAAAACATAAATAAATGTTTCGGAAGCTATATATTTTTTGGCCGGTAAAAAAGGCGCGGCGACTATATTTTTTTTATTTTAAAACGAAAATACTGATTCTGCATAATATTATAAAAACCTTAATATCAACAACCAAATCTCATCTGCGTTGCGAATTTTTTGAATTTTAAATTCTTATTTGAATAGTCCAATATTATCCTTGCAATTCAAATCGCAAGTAAAAAAAAAAACATTATTAAATTATGAATGCCTACCATAAAACGGTACATAAAATTCCACCTGATGCGTTGCCATGTTTTAAAAATATAATATTGTCACTGCCGGCCGTTTTACATAGTTTAGTTTATTTTACATAATATATGTTGTATAGAATTTTTAATTTAATAATTAAAAAATACACGAAATTAATGTTTTAAAATATAGTTTATTACGGTCATGTTTTATTTGATATTAAATTAAAATTACTTGTATACAGTTAGTTGTCGGTATGCATACTGGTACAGCATTTTCCCGTTTTTCCCGCGTATCTATTTACAGGACACCGGGAAAACACGGTGCAAAAGCCGTCCCGTGTAGCCAATAATAGTACCCACTTTAATGGAAAGTACGAGTAAATATAATTATTCGAACCGAACTCAAAGTTTTTAAATATTTATTCGAAAATATAATACGAAATGAGAAGATTTCGTTTTTGTTGTTATTAAAATAAATATTTAGACAAGATTTTATTAATACGCCCAGCGAGATTGCGAATGAGTTTAAATTTATCGAAAGTTTAGAGAGAATTTAAATTATTTAATTATTTTTCATAGTAGGCAATTTATACGGTGAAAACGAGTTTTAATTAATAACTATCGACTATATCGGATAGAAAAGTTGTAAAAAAAACAACTATAAATATATCGATGTAAACAAATTATTACATTTTGACGTGATTGTTAGGATTGCAGTATAACATCACGAAAGACATTATTATGCGTGTTTGTGTGAGTGCCGTTGTTGAGGAAAAACAACCTCATAATGTGTGCTGAAATTATGATTTTGAGGTTTTACTACTCTTGGACTGGGAAAAAAAATAAGCTTTATGATAATTATTTATTGAAATCTAAAGAAAAAAATTCGAATGATGTGTTTCCATACACATACACTACCTGTATGCAGCAGTACAATTCCTATGCGATTGGTCAAAATTAAATTAGAGGTATTATTGAAATGAAAAACCTCAAATGTTATTTTGAAAAGTTGCATATGCAAAAAAAAAATTACATGGACAAATGCTTACATAAATATTTAAATATTTAAATATTTGCACCATGATTGAGTTTTCATTTAAATCGTTGTAAATTTGGTAACTTTTAGCTGCTCTTTCTGGACCAAAATAATTTAAACATAAGAATCAGAGATTTTTTATAGGTGGAATGAAGTGAAGAAATTTGATTGAATTGAATATAAAATTCGCCATTGCGGAAAGAGAATATTTTTTTGTTAAGCCACGGGATAACATTTTATATATGTGTCATGTATGTATCAAGAGTGTATCTTTTAGTGATTTAAACTTTTAATTCTCACTTTAAATATTTTTATGCTCTGATTTCATGTTTTCACAGGAAATATTAATAGTTTTAAAAACCATGAAATTAAGTAACTTGTGTACATTTAAATATATTTTTTTCGAGGAAGTGCCTATAGAAGGTTTGATATTCCGACCCCAACTCTACAACCCATTAGGAAAAATCTCGATTACTACTTTTCCTAATTTGATGAAACATAATTCTCTACCGTTATAAAAAAAAATATGTATAACATATGTATATAATATATTGTAACAGTATAACAATTCGGTTGGAGCAAAATTCGACAGTAAAGATTCTAGCAACTCTGTTGCTTATGTATTTACATACATGAATATACTTTTTTTAACTTTTGGAAATTCTGGTTTTAACACATGGGAAGTTTTTCCCGCTAACGACCATGAAAAGTCAATTTAAAAATTTAAAATTAAAATAGAAAGTATTTCCCTGAACTGTTGGTACCTTCGAAAGCTACCTTGGTAACCACAGCACCCCCTGCGATCTTCGCTTTTACGTCTTGGCATAACCTGAAGAAGTTTCATAGTGTCATCAACAATTTTCATTTTGACTGGGGGGTAGTTGAAGTTTCCCGTGTTTAAGTTTAGTTCTTCCGTATGATGTGCGTCGTCTGCAGTTATGCCCATTTATCGTCGGGGTAGAAAAACTTAAATTATTGTTCGTCATTCATAGTTTTTGGAATTATTTTAAACCAGCCACGATAATAATTCTTGCGATATGTTTAATCCACTTACATCTAAGTACATAATTATTATTATATACAACTGAAATTTAATTTTATTCACTATTATATATTTTGTTCATTCGATCTTATAAGAATATTATATAAATACCAAGAGGACGTGACGGTTTTCAGTAGTATAGACAAATAACATTGAATAACAGTTATTATAGATCAAATACGTATTGTCAAAAAATTACACAAATGATAATAATTCTATTTGATTTGTATTAATATAACAGTCAAAAAAAATGGGTAGGATTAGATAAAGATAATTTTAAAAACAAAAAAAATAAACGTTTGTTTTCGCATTTATTGTTCTATAGACCATGTGTATTTGGAAATATTTCATTTCCAAAGTAAGTTTTTAGGGTTTTTTATAGACTGGTTTGAACAAATTTCACAATTTCATATTCACACACTATACAAGCACTAATTTGTGAATTTACTTCAACAAGCGTTTTGGATTTTGGAAAATAATTGATTAGCGGTAATGTTCTTAGAATATTCTCCAAGGAAACAACATGAAAAAAATCTAGATGAACCTGTTGAAAATTTCCAGAAAAATTTTGGAAGTAAAGACCGCGTATTACCGGGCGGAAGTTTCGTGTACTATCTTTTAACGCGCCGCGTGAAATAAATCTGATCTAATCGAAAAAGTATTTTTTTCGTGATAAACCACACCTGTATACTGTTTAAATAATGTAAAATAACGTCTTGTTCGCTACACTCAGCATCATCTAAAATCGCAACTTTTTACCGATGTGTTTAATAAATATTACGAGCAAATGCCGACGGTGTTACGGACGCTGCCGTTTAGATTTTACACGCGCGACGCATACTTTGTAACAGATTACGTTTCTAAACTCGTCTAATATAATTAATATATTTTATTTTTTAATTCATACACTCGTATAGGTGTGTGTGTGTGTGTGTGTGTGTGTATTTGTTGTGTATATTATTATTATTATATACCGTCGGCGGCATTAACGCAGTAGTACGGTTTTTAGGCGCGCCGTATTGCATTCGAATATTTCCGTTTGCCTAAATCACTTGAATAACTCGAATAACACCGATTGTAACATTATATAATAATACCGCGTTTAAACGCTGGCGAATTATTAAACATTAATAATTATTATTATTATTATTGTGCCGTTCGTCTAACAACTTTATCTGACCGGACTGCATATAACACGATATTATTTCAATAACCGCAGCCGCAGAAAGGTCAAAGTGTTTTCAACCGCAGCTCGCTGTTGAATCGCCCCGCGAACAAACTTTATTAGTATAATATTATAACAGCGTCCACTCTCTCGCTATATCTTCCTCTCTCTACCGTTTTCCTCCCGTCCGTTTCCACGTATACAACACACTATAAAATATACGTTCGAGAATTTAAATTATTACTATTATTGTTTCTGATTGATAAAACATAATATACTTTTGTAAACTACCCGAAACATAATACGGTTATCGGGTTCCGAATTAAACGTCAAATCGCGTAGGTTTATATATCCAGATATATTATACACACCGCGTTTATTTCTCTACGTATTGTATATTCTAATATTATAACATCTTTTTTTTTTTCGTGTTAAACTTCAAAAGTTTAAAAATTCAATATTTATTCCGAAACGTATAACGTATATATATATACAGAATTTTTCGATGAATAAATAAGTCCAGAGTCCTTATTATAATACACCAATAGACATTCGTCTTGGAAAATCATTCAGGGACGAGTACAAAAATAAAACGAAAACGTAAAATATCCGGGTAAATAAATAATAAGATTCCTACAGAATATATAACAAAGTAAATAGGTAACCTAAAAGTCGTTCAAAGTTCGCATACGAAAAATATAATATTATTATAATAATATAGCGCCTCCCGCAACTGTAACCGTGCAGTGCATTATGGTGACAGTACCATACACAATAATAATATTACTACTGTAGAGGGGGCGTTGCAAATAAAATATCAAAATATTGCTCTCACGGTTAGGCCAATATTATTGGAAAGAAAGGATATACAGAGTAATTTAGTTTATATGCTGTATACAACAATAAATCATTGCAAACAAAAGAAAAACCGTTTCTGAGCGAAATAGTGTTGTTTTTATCGATTCCTGTATGCGGTGAACTGCTAAAGGTTACGCAAATCGTTTTAAATAAAATATTACGAGATAAAAATCCCGCATATTTTGAATTAAACAGTACTAAAAAAAAAAAAAATGTTTCAAAAAATAAAACAAAATCAAAAGCGTTCATTTGATTTCAGAAAAAATGTCCGCATCGTTTAAGATATTCTATGAAGAAAACAGAGCATTCTATAAAAGTTCTTCCCTAAAAGAAAAACACACGTTTGTATGAAACTCTCCGTTGTATTCAAAATCTTATATGGTGGTAAAATATAATGTAAATTACATCATTACGTCATTTTTAATAAAATCATGAATCGTCTTGATTAATATGTTGAATTCAGTCATGGATTAATGAAACGAAGAAGCAGTCGGTGGATCGAAAAACCTAATCACTCAATTGTTCATCAGAATTAGGTAGAAATATATTAAATAAATGTAGAAATAAATTAAGCAATCGGTAGAGCGATATTTTTATAGGTTTAAGTTCAATATTGTATAGCTCATATACAATTTTATTATATACAAGTATGATTATATTATGACAAAAATCTAGATTATTATACTTTTTATTCACAAGTTACTGAAAGATTATCTTAGCTTATTAATTTGAAACCCTGATAAAAATGACGGTAAAGCAGTTGCTACCTCTCGCTACCCCATAATGACGCCTGTATAAAGGTATCTTTATGGGATGGAAAAATAAAAGAGCCATAAGTAGGAAAACAATAAATGCCATTTCGTATGACTTGTCACTGGGATTAATCGTAACCGTAAATAACGCATAGGTAATACCTGACATACTCACGCCGATAATAAACCGGCGGAATATGTTATTTATAGTTTGCGAGTTTACGACAACCATCATGTTTTCGGAGGACAAAATTTGACATAAGAAAGTTCCAAAGATCAATGACTAGAACGGCAAAGCGAATGCTCCTATACATTTTATTGGACAATAATAATACTTGAATATGTTAAATATACGAGTATATTATAATTGTATTTACTTTGTTAATAATATACCCGATTTAGTTATACATTTAATTTACCTAGGTATAATATTATTTCATTTGTGATAAAAATATCGTTTTGGATACTATTAATTTAATTATTTTAAACCGTTTCAATATTTTCAATATATCTATAAAGGGCCCATCTGTGTTCGGTTTTTAGCAAAAGGCATACTATCGTTTGAAACTATGGTTGCAAATGATCTATAGGTTTTACGGAAAAAGTAAAATTGATTTCATGTATGGCCTATGACAGAATATTATATTAACTATAAATACATCATACTTTATAATATACTCGTGACTAATTATATATCAAATATTTTATTATTATTTTTTTTTTTTTTAAAGCACTCAAAAAATTAAAAATTAAAAAAATAACAAGTCAAACGATACCTAAATACATAAATACATTGTGTAACTCATGTAAACAATAAAATTAATTCCCTCCCCCCAAAGACCGTTGGAGAATTCTCGTAAAATAATAGGGAATAAAATAATTTCGAGGGATTCTGCAGCAATATTTTATGTAAACAAAGTGAAAATAATAATCGGTTCACGTCTCTCGCAATCAGTAATTTATACTGTATAAATTACTAAATATTGTTTATAACGTTTTGTCGATGACAAACAGCAAAGTTTCTTAAACTCTAGAAACAAAGAGAATTTAATTTGAATCTGTATATGCAACGATTAGTCATTGCTAAAGTATAACGATTCTAAATGGAGCTCATTTAGTAGTATTGGTTTTTTAACAATGTGTACATATGTCACATTTTAGTAAAATAAATAAGTACTGAATACTACGAATTACACAGTAAACAGTTATTATTTCGTATATTTTTTTGATCACAAAGCATGACTTTTACTATCCCTTTTGTTAAGTATTCACGCATTTCTGTTAAGTCTAACAATTTTATTCATAGAGTACCTACCGAAAAAAAATAAAGCGAAAAACTAGCAAAATTAACATGTCCGAATTTAAACTCTCTATGTATATTTAAAAGTAAAAAACTACTGGGAAAATAAAAAAAATAATTTCCTAAAAGACCAAGTAGATGCAATTTTCGTTCTGAAAAATTGCTACACTTGGTACATCAGAACAAGGTGTCTAGTAAAAAAAGTTGTGCACAGTACTTTTGTAAAAAAAAAAAAAAAAAAACATTGCAAACCAATCCTGGCTATATTCCAAATCCAAAAAAAAACCAAAAACCAATAAGTAAAGAAGTTGAAACTTGATTTTATCAAGGGCCATAGATACTATATTATTATACACATGTATTATATTAGACGACCATTTTTTTTTTAAAACAGACTTACCTGTAGAATAAAAATTCTATAACTACAATAGTTTTTTAGGTGATAGTAATTTTTACTTTTGTATTTAAATTATGTATGCTTAATTTTGCAGCTATTTATAACAATTAAAACTCTTTTATTATTTTCTGTGTCGTATAAACCTCTTTTTAGATGGTTTTTGGTATTATTTATTTTATTTTAAAGTCCTATTAGGCATATATTCATTAGAGTTTTGTATAATAGGACTCAACGCCGTTGCGTAGGTATACGGTATACTATGCGTACAACAAAAAATCATAATAAATCCATACTCCGTAGCAATAAATAAACTGGATACAAAATAACAATATTCCTACAATATCAAACTAATGAAATTATAGTGGCGTAGATAATATTATATTCTTTGATGTTTTAAAAAAAAAAAAAGTAAATAACTATAATAATATATAAACTAGAAATTATATCTATTAACCTGTAGGGAAATATTATATTAAGTTTAAATTTTGTAGATGTTTATTAGGCTTTTAAAAACTGTTTGGAGCTCTTTTTTTAGGAGAGAATCATGGCTAAAATCTTCTAAGCCCCACTTTTAAATTAGTTGTGTTGTCATACATAAAAAATAAACTGCTATAATACGTGTTTTGGGTTAAAATAGACCGTGCTCGTTAATGACTTCACATAATATTAATTAAAGCCTAACCTATTATAGGTACCTCATCGGTCAAAAAATTATTTTGATAAGATATCCATTTTTTTAATAGGAAGCCCCCGGCCGTTCAATTGTTCAGCTGTCAATATATCGTATATTTCACTAGAATTTAAAATGCGCTTTACATCTTTTGTTCAATTTATTTTTTTTTTTGTGGACGTTAATTTTATAATTACACGCGTCATTATATTTGTTTATTATTATTATTCACAGCATTTAAAATACGATAAGCATAATACAATATTAATGAACTCGTATTAGCTGTTTATCAGCCACAATAAACCGGATTTGGTACAAAAGAAACCGTCAATAAATCGAAGGATGAATTTTAATATATCTATCTAGTTAAATATAAGAAATAATTTCTAGAATAATTATCTAGATGAATATACAAGATATATAGTAATTCAATTATCTAGATAAATATAAAACTAACCAACAACATTTTTCTAGATTAAAAAAAAAAAGATATTACATATACAGATACACATTTAGATTTCAAAAAAGTTTTATGATAATTGATTTAACACAATAACTAATTTATAAGCTGTATAAACATATATTAATTAGAAATAGGAGTCCATAAAAAATCTGGAGTCAGAAAAATATAAGAGAAAGAAAAATAAAGAAATCGAAAACATTTCCAATGGTTTAAACATCCGAAACTATCTGACAGCTAAAAGACTAGAAACACGGACTGGCCGTGTCTGGGGGGCATAGTCAATAAACCAAGCGATAAAAGACTAAGAGACTAAGGGGTAAACCCCTTCAGAGATGGCTTGATAGAGCAAATAAAGATTTAGAAAGCCTGGGAACGACGGGAATTGAAAATGCGAATGATGAAGAAAAGGATGGAGAGTACGTCTGTCGATTACGCGGTAAAAGACCTTCGAGGCCTGTAAACCTAGAAAAATAAATAAAGAAATGCAAATAAATGTTTTATCTAATATTAATAACGAATACAAAATACGAATATAAATTTATCTGGATGATTTTATTATTCATCTTAGATAACAGTTCAGAGAATTTGTTTCTAGTTTATCTGGATAGGATAAGTAAACCGATGAAAGATACAAATATACCTATATCTGAATTAAACACATCATCGGTTAGGCCGCGTATTTTATTTTGTTATAAATACAAAATATTATTTTGTTATTTGAACGTGGCGATTACACTGTCGTTCGAACAAAATAATGTATCTGGGTTATTGTTTATGATTGTATTATTATAACAGTATGTATACAGGTTTTTATAATATTTTTTTTTTTTTCAATAAAAATATAAATATGTAGGTATATCTATATAAAAAAATAAAAACTTTACATATTTTATTCTGAGAATATTGTGTTTTGAGTACGATAAAAACTGAAACTTAAATACAAAATATACTAACTTTAAGTTATGTGAAACTAAATAGAATAATATATTATATACAGGGTAATCGATCTAGTGTGAATGGCTTGTGATAGATTGACAACATTATAAACAGTTTCCATTTGAACGATTTAAAAAACAAGGAGCTCTAAAATTGCTCTTATTTTTCGCGCTATTAAGGCTGAGGGATGAAACGCTGAATCTACTATCCTATTTTCTTTATTCAATGACGTTATATAATTTCAACAACAAATGTTAGTACGACGTGAATTTTAATGTTGGGATTTTTATTCTCGGCCATGCATTTATGAGTTATACACTGTCAAAGTTTGGTTTAAGTTTTTTAAATATCTTTGATCAGTGATCACTAATGATGACTTATTTTCATAGACATTAAAGATATGGATAGGCCATAAATTATTATCGGGATTTTCGACCATAAGAATTTGAGACTGATTTTGTTCATTCATTAATGATCTATTATTTGTTGACTTTAAGTTCCAGTTAACAATAGTTGTTTTAAAAATTTAAAAATATATATTCTATATAATATTATAATGTTTCTGAAATCGATCGATACCCACTATATTTTTAACGAAAACAAAATTTTGGAAGATAGCATTATTTTATTTTAAACTAAACTGTAACGTATATTGATTTTTATTTAAATAACTAAAAAAAAACTATAAATGAGGCAGTGCCTTTATGTACCTTATCTGGCGAGTCACCACTGAATCAGGTAATATGTATACATGTGGACGTTTGACATCCGATTTTTAATTTTATTAGAAAAACTATAGGAAATATAGATTTTTTTTTAAGTGATCACAATAATACTACTGCGTAAAAAATCGGCATCTTTTAAGATATGGGATGTGCGAATAACTCTAAGCGTTTTATACAATCAGACAATTTTTTTTATTCTGAAAAAAAAAGAACACAGCTTATAGTTAGTGAAACTAAGAATTAGAATCTTCAATTTTTTATTGTAATATTAGTGGTTGAAAACATTAAATATGTTGTCGTTTGATAATCAAAAGATGGTAGTGGTTTCAGTCCCGAATATATGTAAACGATTGAACAAATAATAAGGGTAATGTAATATTTTAGATTTTCAGTAATAATCCTGTAAAAATACATCATTTTTCAAACAAATTTTTAGTTTTTGAATATTATTTAATTTAAAATATTGTAATTATTTTTCGGTTTATGTCCGGTGAAGGACTTTCCACTACTCCGATTAGAAATATCAGCTTAGTACATTATCGTGTTTTCCGTTATATCGTCTCGTTTTAATAATACAGTAATACCATAATAATATTGCATGTTTCTTTTTTTTTCTTTTCTATTCTGACAAATGTGAAATACCCGTCACTCGGGTGTCAATCGGTCGGCCCCCGAAGTCCGAAAATACGAAACGGAATGAATGTGGCATAAGCATCGTGACTGGCCCAACGGTGGTACGTCTGTTTTCATTGTCCGATCGCGTTATTTTATTATTATACAATATTTTAATAATTATTATCTGTCAGACCGGCTGTCAATCAACATAATAATATTATTGTGGCTTCGTAACTGCCATTTGCTATTAAAATCGGTCAAATAATACCTAACCCGGCAATGGTGGCAATTTTAATAAATCTGCAACATACATTCGTACATTTCCTCCAGAGCTTTTTTTTTTTATTTTCTAAGAATATTGTACACTACATACAGAGTGCCCAACAGTGTTATCCTTATTGAAAAATAACTCTGTCAATATTATTTGTTATTCCTTTTTTTTTTCAATCAGGTTTTCCACGAAGGGGACACATATGTAGAGCAAAATTAAGTTTGTATTTTCATCCCTTAATCACTAAAACAAAAAACTTAAAAAACAAAATAGCCATTTTGTTAAATATATTATTCAAAACATTTTAATATATTATGCATTCATATCCGATTAATAGTGTCTTTGTCATAGTGACTTTAATGTATAGAAAGTAGACGTGAAAACAATTAATATTCAAGAAATAAATGATAAAATAAAAACATTTTATTTTTCTCTTCTTGTGTTCCCCTTGTACAAAACCACAAGACAACACTGTAGGACACCCTAAATATATATAAAAAAAAATGCTCAAGGAGAATGCAAAAGTAGAACGAATAAAAGAATAGAAGAACTATATAATGAAACAAATATAATTGGAGTCCTTTAAGAACAATAGACTAAGATAAGCTAGACATGTGTAGGGATCAGAAAACCCCATCGGGTTGGCCAGAATATGGAAATCAAATACGAAAAGGTCAATAAGACTGACTAGTTGACGATAGAAAGACGGGATTTCCAAAGATACATTGCAGTTGGGAGTGATCAATGGATAGGAAATAGCTCACGATAAGGATGGGTTAAGACTTTTGGTTATTGTAGCAATAAACCTGAATGGCTCGTAAAAGCTTATGAAGTTAATGATATATATATATATATATACATATATATATGTGTGTGTGTGTGTGTGTATGTACACTATTTTCAATAGAAAGCAGATGTAAGGTCACTGTTGTATGCAGAGTCTATATACAGTGAAACTTCCGTTGACGGTCACCTCTATGTAACGGTCATTTCTTTTGGTCCCTTCAAGTGTTATGCGCCTATAGGATATCTCTATAGGACGGACACCTCTAAATAGCGGTGATTATTTCCGGTCCTTTCGATGATCGTTATATGGAAGTTTCACTACATATAATAATATTTATACACGAATATAATGAATATATTTGATTTGTGGTTTTTTTTTTTTTTTTTTTTTTTTTTTTTTTTTTTTTTTTTTGGGGTCATTGGATAGAATCATTAGAATCGTTTTCAAAAGTGTCTATACCCATTTCGTATATATAGAATAGGTACTCATAGATAATAAATAATTGATATAGGTCATATTCGTTATCAGATGAATTTTCTTTCTCACTCACCGAAATCAGTTCTCACTATATGCATGACAACAAGAAATAATTTAAAGAAGAAAATGTGAAAGAAAAATTAGTTTATTGCGAGTAAGATAGAAAATATGATTTTAATATTTCTATCATTCATTCTAATTCAGGAAAGCTACCAGCTACTACTAAGCGATATGTGCAATGCATACCCCTACCCATTATCTATTTAAGTATAGTATAACCTAATAGCCTAATAACCAAATTAATTGTGTAACAATAGATATTATGTAGTAAGATGGAAATCGGATGGCAAATGAAAAAAGCGGCTGTTAGGAGAGGGAAAAACCGACATCACGGTATTTCTGATCAGTATAGTATAATATTGAAGATATGTTTTGGAAAAATTAAACATGTACCATTAAATAAATTGATACCAGTTATCTTAAGAACTGTCTAAAGTTCACACTGGTTATATTTATAGGAGCGATATACACCGTAATGTAAGCTAATCAATTTGTGGATCGACCGTTGATTTTTCAATTAAACCCGTATTTTGTAAACCAAATTCGAAAAGAAAATAGGTTTTGATAGTTTTCGATATTTCCAAAAACCACATGTTGTAGATAGATAATATTATCCTACGCTACTCTTCAGGCCGAAATTTCAAACGGTTAATCCTATTTAAAAGTGATATTACGTCTATAAAAATATTTTAACAAATTGTCTGAAAAATATAGGTCATCGTTAGAAAAACCAAATTTTATATTATATAATAATAACGAGTTATATTTATAGAAAGTCTATATACTCAAATGAGTATATTACATAAATAAGATATTATTTTATAATGATTTGAAAAAACCGAAATCAAATACACCTACTCAAAATAAATGGTATCCTGTATAATATTATATTTTATTATTCTTCGTTTTTTTTTTCACATACACCGTTCTATATTTCTTTTGCACTCGTTAAATAAATACCTTCACCCGACCGCGGAACTGGCGGCGATTTTAATGGATATCCGGACGATATTAAAACGTCTCGTTTGACTGATGATTTGCTCCGACACTTTGACTGCCGCTCCCATTGTTAGGGGATCGCTTCCCCACTGGCGTCCCACCAACTACGCCTGAACCTATATCAGCCGTCGTCCGCCCTGGAGGTCAAATAACCATCAACAAACTCGGTACACAAATAGGTCAGCAGTTAGGTCAAAAATAGTTATTGTATATTTGTATTATATTTATGATTTAACTTTTTTAAATTTATTATCGCGCGACTATCAATAAGTTGGATTTAATACAGAAAAAAACCGAGAATGGACGAATCAGCCAGCAGAGTAGTGGGATAGGGGGGAAATAAAAAGTCGATGGATTTATTTGAAGTATGATCATGTTTAGTGATGGTGCTACCACAGAACGCTGTTAGAGAATCCCTTGGACTGAGAGAGTGGATAAATAAAAAAGTTTTACACACAATTATAGAAAAAGGTGATTACCACAACGAATAACAAAAGTCTATAGACAGTGTGTAACACGATTGGATAAACACTGCACCACGATCGACTGTCTAATATTTAATAAGGTCAATATTGAGATGGGGAGTGAAATGTCTGCAAAACAAAGACAAAAATAGAGTATAATTTATGTAATACAAATCCTTAAAAATATGGGAGGGGGAGGGAATGGACACCACAAGTAAAATGGATTAAGACGAGACTGAAAGACGTGGGTAAATGCAGCTAACCAATCGAAAAACTGATAACTATACTGAAGAAGAAAAAATCACAGTTTGTATTTTTATGGTAATTATGTGAGAAAATAATATAATATATTAGGTTTCTACTATATATCCGTAACCTGTAAAATATTTTTCATGGACTTTAACTTGGTCGACAGTGTTGCTGCATAAAGAATACTGTCATATTTTAAGTCAGTAAACTAAAGATCACCCCCAAATTTTATACGACGTGGTAAAACGGACTGAGAAAATTACGTGACTTGGCCGTCATCGTTTTTCTCGAACATAATACGAGTCGGACAATATAAAATTTATAGACGCTTATCTATATAAATTTACGAAAACCTTCAGACAATACTATACCTACTATAATATTTTAGCGAATTTCACAGCACGTATCACGGACATATAATATTATTTTTATTCGTGCCGTCCTATAACACTAAAATACTCATATAATAGTATATGGTTTTTTTTACGAAAATGGGGGAAATAGGACGTTTGGTAGGTGACTGTATAGTTAAACAGTGGAGCCATCAGCGTAGTCGACGATGGAATTTATAACGAGAGTATATTATAATTATAATTATTACTGCGGGCGTGGAGAACGAATATTTGAACACTCGAAACATTCAAACGATTTTCGGCGGAAACTGCGTATCATGTAGATGTAGATACACAATGAAGTATATTTCCCTGCAGTACACTTGACGAAAATATCATATTTAAATATTGTAACCTGTGGAAATATTATAAAATTAGAATTCTACGCTCGATAGACTCATTTAAAATTAACAGCGCTGCAGTTCAGAAATAATAACGAGTGTTTCATACATTAATAAGTAATCTACCTATATTTCAGTTAGAACATATTAATATCTATATCAATATCGGTGGTGTATTTAGGAATTCACCAAGAGAGATATTGAATTTGGTTATTGTTTATTATTGTACAACGTATATATAGGCTATATAAAAAAAAAAAAAAAACCAAATCCAGCACTTTGTCACGTTAAATTTTCCACGGCTCATTTTATATTATAGAAATATTTTTTGTAAAAAAATCAATAATAATACGATACTATATTATATTATATTAAATAGGTACTATAACACTACAAATATATTAACACTATACTATACTTCCTTCAAAAAAATGGCGAAATTTCAGTGAGAAAATGGTAGAGGTGGAAGTTTAAATTTTAAGCCTTCCAAGACACATCCTCGATTCTGGTTTGGTTTCATTTTGTAGAAGTATTTAACCAAAAAAATCCCCCTATTTCACAACAACACGGTAAAAACCATATTAACTATCTATCAAAATCAAATAATTATAGATGTAAGTAATTGTTATTAGTTTATTTTTTATTTATGTACTAAGCTAACCTCGTTATTTATATTATAGTGATTCGAATAAATTATATTTTGAACACGAAAATAGAAAATTGTAATAACTATAGATACCAAAACACTTTTGATTTATCTGACTGAAAAGTAAGTATAGTTCAATTGAAACAACATTTTAGTCATATCAAAAAAATATATTATAAAAATACCAAGGAGAGTTGTATATCCCCCAAAAAACGGGAAGATATATCACCCCCCCCCCTAATAAACTACTGATAAAATGTATGTATACACATTACACATAAGTGGATAATGGGTATTTCTATAATGTATAAAGCTGCTGTGTATATAGATAATATACGCAGAATACCTAAGTATTGTTATGATGTCGTTCTGTTAGTTTTAAAGTCAATTTATAAGTGCACTCTAAAGATTTTGAAAAGTTTGATATCCCTGCATATTGTTGACCGCATCATGAATACTTAAAACATTTTTGACCCACTAGATTTGCATAATATAGGTGACGACCTTTCGAGAATAATCACATTCAATATGATGACACTTTCAGGAATCAGTATATCGATGAAACGCGGGAAAATTATTTAGAGCTGGCGCACTTTTTATCATTATTATTGACTCGAGTATTTCCGAGAAAACGGAAGAATAAATAAATAAATAATAACATCATTTTATTTGTCGATCTATCGAACGTTAAAGTGTACTCGACTGTCGTTATAATATTTCTTTTGAGTTTTTCCCCAGTTTTTTTTTTTTCTATTTAGCAGACATGTCGCGCCGTTTGCACAAAGGTTACTTTTTTTTTTTTTAAATCTTCCCGTTTCTCAATGGAATTATACACGGTACGTCGCTTTTACATCACACCGAGGTGGATCAAAGAAATCAACTTCCATAACGCGGTCGTGTATTAAAAGGCAAAAATAAAAATTCTTTTTTCCGATTCGTCATAATAGTTCCCCAATAGTGTATTATATTGATCACCTTGCATTCGCATGGCGCACATTGTATGCACTTCGAAAACCTGCAAGCAATTTTTATACAAAAACATAGTTTCCGATTATCTAACGAGAATCATTATTTTGGTTTTTTTTTTTTTTTACGTTTAATATATTATAAAAACTATCGTAAACCATAAAAACCACTCGTGGTCTCGTTAATATCGTACGTTCATTAAAATGTTAAGCTTGAACTAAACCAAATAATATAATATAACGCGGTTGAAATTGGAAACCAAAGAAAATAATATAGTAATTATCAATTGTATAAATACGCGAGCGTGACCAACAAAACAAGCATAGACGAATATTTTCGTATAGAGTATGTAAATTAATTAGAAATTCAGTAGCTGTAATTCGAAATATAGCAAAAATATAGTTCGAACATTGTATCTACTATAAATAACTTTTGGATTAGCGTTACACTATTGTACAATATTAAGCTGTATTTTTAGAAACAGAAGTTTAATTGATTCATTCAAAATTTGCTCCATTTCAATTTTTTTTTTTTTTTGCTTTAAATAAATAACTTTACAAAATTAATATTTTCAAATTTTTAAAATTGAAAAAAACTGTCAGTGATTCATGACTTTTTTTAAATTTTAGACCTTCGTAAAAGGGAGGCTATAAGTCATATATTATATTAAAAAAAATTGCACTAAAATATGTGCATAATAATTTTAATTACACTTTCCGATATTGGACTTTCCAATCAATTTCCATATTGTATAACAGCAGATATCTAAATATAATAATTTATAAAATCAATCGATATTGATTATAACCACATCATATAAAAAGAAGCAGACTTGTCTGTATTCTATACTTGTTCTGTACTTGTTCTATACTTTCTACTTCTTCTATAGCACAATGGGCCGATTTTTTTATAGCACTCATTCTTAACTTATTTTATTATTATATATTAAAACGAATTAAAGCACTTGACAAGAACTTTAAGTTAAAAATATTGTTGGAAAATATTCGATTGTTTCGACGACATTTACTAAACCTAATACTGTACTGAGTTGGAATTTCTAAAGGTCCGGACCGCTAGACATTTTTTTTTAAATTGAAAATTTTTAGTAAAATTCTAAAAAAATAGATTATTAAATAAAATTGAAAAAATATCACCTCTTTTAATTTATAATATGTAAACCATTTATTTACTTTAATAGTTAGCAACCTGATGATGGCATAAGCCGAAACTTAGTAGTTGTAAAATAAATTTATACACTTTGTGTCGGTTTTTTTAACAATATTTTTATATATATATGAAAAAACTGTTTGATCTCTTGAGTCGTTGACTTTGTAGAAAATGTAGTGTTATAATTAAATTGAATTGTGATGATTCATGCACGATTAGTGATAAGTACTGATTATCGTAATAGAGCTATACAAATTGTTTAAGTTTCAGCACAATAGAATAATACTTTAATTTAGTAGTCATAATACATTACACTATAGAAATATTTGACATTGAGTAGCTAAATAGTTTATTTGTAACTACTTCACTCTTTGACTTAATTATATAAATATTTATATGATGAATCAATGTATCTGATGAACAAAATCAGTTTTCATTAAATAAAATTAACTTTGTACAGATAATTCTTATAAAATAGCCATCAACGAGTTAAAGACGAACTTTTTTTTTTTTTTTTTTTTTTTTTTTGAAATTGGATTTTAATTAGAAATACTGCGATTTATGTATTTTTATTAAATGTGATAGTTTGAATTTTTTTTATACAAATGAAAAATGTATAAACTAAATTAAGTTAATATTTGTTGCATTTTAAATTTTAACTTCACTAATTCAATTGATTTATTGTCCTACCCCGAAAACTTTTTATTGATTATTTGACTTAATCGAGTTAATCATTTTCATTAACTTGTCCACAATTGCATTATAAGGTGAAAGCTATCCGCTGTGTTTTAGGTATATATAAAGTGTTTTCTTGTTAAACAAATGTAAGGAATATCGGCCAACGAGATAAAGCTGTATACCGACTGTTCGATACATTATCGTTTAACTTTTCTGAATTTATTTATCAAATAACGTAAATTCAATAACATTCGAAAAGTGACCGTTTTCAGCGGTGTTATTAAATCTAGTTTTATCGAGTCAAAAAGAAACTATAACAGAAAGTTAACTCGCCCGTCAAAAGTGAATAAGCGCCGTAATATATAATGCGGTTTTGTAACGTCAAAGTATTAATAATATAATAAAATATGATATAATAGGCAAAACTTTTAGACTCACAGACATCCACCTGATAGGCATAACTTCTTAATATATTGCAACATAAATATTCGTGTCGCGAGATAGGTAGTATACAACGTGAACGCAACAAATCAAATGTTAAACGTACTATTTTGTAGAAATATTTTTTTTCTCCAGTCGTTTTTGAAAAATAGCAGTTGGTCAACGGAGAGCATAGTCGTAATAGCATAGTCGAGCCATGATATTTTAAGCACTTAGCGCACCTGACACTGATCGAATTTGAAATCACACACTCTGTTGACAATAATTATAAGTCAACAATAATTTCGCTTAATTAATCAATTTTGTCAAGTCGTTTTTCGATCAGATATAATGAGTTACAATATCAGAAGTGAAATATTATGTGACGGCGGATGTGACAAACGCAAAGTCCGGACAGCTCCGGCAGTTTTAAAGTACCAATTGCATTTTATGCATGTTACAATATTATTTGAAAATCATCGTTTTCATTGTTGCCCTAGTTTTGTTTTCCTTTTCTTTTGCAGCGCTAAAATATATTGTAATTTAAAAATATACCTCCGATAGGTACTTATTATTTCATCCTTATATATGGCCGAATTACCCGATATTTCCCGGAATCGTCCTTATATGTACCACAGTTGTATATATATTATAATATATATATATATATATATGATTATTTCGAATAATATTGTGTACGGAAAGGGTATATATATGGATTGCGTGCGATGATCCCGAAAAACCAATTTGGAATATACGAGAGTACAGAGTACATATACGAAGGTATGCCGGATAAAAATCGAGGAGATAAAATCGGCTTATCATAATAAAAGGCTGCTGCCGATTCATACGTGATTTGACTGCTTAGCGTCTTTTCCCACTGCCGTTTGACGGAGACATTCTAACACGGACTTCTGGACTTAACAGCTGATATTATAAATCCGACGCCTTATAATATACGCGATCCGCGACCAGAGGATTACAGACAGAAATTGTTTTTTCACCTTATCATTGTTATTATTATTATCATTATCGTCACGGCCCAAACGCTTTTATCCTTTTTTTTTTTATTATCATTATTATTATTATTATTTTTTTTTTATTATTATTATTAGTATATCTACCGGTCACCGATATTTACACTCGACGCTAAATTGTATACTCAATATACTCGAATACAAATAACAATTCCACAGGCTAACTTTTTCGCTATTTTTTTTTTATTTCTGTATTATTTATTTCGGCTGATAAAAATACTTGTTAATTTATTTAAAAATTATGAAAAATCGCTTAACATAATGTGAAAAACGAAGTCAAGATAAATTATTTCGAAATAAAATATTTGTCATATAAAATATAAACATCATCGTTTTCCTACCTTATTCAATATTTATATAATATGCACAAATTTTTTTATCATATTCTTAAAATTGTAAATGTTTTCATTGTTTCGGTTAGGTTAGATTTTGTTTTTTATTTCCGGCGGTACCTACACCTATACCCACATCAGTAGTGAACACAGGAGTAGGTTTTGTGGGTTCAAACCATTGGAATGAGATAGAAGGAGACATGTCCCATCCCCTTTTTTCGTACTTCTATTATGATATATACACAGATTTAACGAAATGGCAATTTTCATTCAACATATAACTAAAAATGATACATCCTACCGTACATATTTGTATATCATACTCGAGTTTCGAAAAATTAAAGAAACGTCTCGTGTCACATAATATTCAATATTAACCAATACAATATTTTTTCCCAGATTTTAATTTGTAACCATCTACTTAATTAGCATTCATCGAAAACCTAAAAAATATTACACAAAATACGCATGAAAAAATATTACGATACTATGATACCGTACGGCGTTAAATTGAAAAACACTGGAATAGCAGTAGATAGTTAAAAAAATTTTTTTTTTTTTTACCATTTGCACGCCAACTGTTTTCATGATGATTATGATAATATTATATATAATAAAAAAATCACAACGATTCCCTTCGAAATTTCAAATGAAAAATATGGTACCGACCGGCGATCAAATTCGACCAACACATGACATACGTAACGAGTGTTTACATCTCAAGCGAAAAATCATAATAGAAGTCTTTGAATAAATAAATTTTAATTTGTTTTATTATCACCTTAACCAGAGATTCCAAATAATAATAATAACAATACTATTCTAGTTACTTGCAGTATCATTATTCAAATGTATAAACGGGAGGTAGGTACACTGTACTTTACTTATGAATTAAATTGCATATTATACGAGTGTAAAATATTGTACTATTTTATTTTACACGAGTGAGTTGCAAAGTATTATAAATGAAATAAACCAACTGCAGCTGTTGCATCCTAAGTTTAATACTTACATAATAAATACGTTTAAAAAAAAAAAAAAATTCCTATGGGGTTCACACAAATTGCGTGTACATTATATTATATAAAATGTACATAATAATAATATACACGTAGGCACCGAGGCATAATAATATTATATTTATTGTTGTATTTTAGTTTATCGGTTGATATTTGACTGCAGTATACTAGCCTGCACTGCACTCGAAAAGTTATTGCAAACAACGAATAAATTTACACCTCAGCCGCGAGCTAATAATAAATAAACCTGCGGGAAATGATATTTAAACGCCTATATTATTATTTGAATTTTATAAGGCCGTTATAATATTATTGTTATGAGGCGTGTGTGTTATAAAATATAAAATAATTATAATAAGTTTACCCGAACGCCGGTGTAGTAGTAGTGCAATTAAACCCATAAAGTACATGTATACACACCTACTAGCATATTATACCTATACCGACAAACCTTTAAGGTAGGTAAATTGTATACTTTGTGCCTTTAATTTATAGTACAAACATTTTTACCCGGCTAAGTAAACATATACAAAACAGCAGATTCGGTTACAGGTTAAAACAAAATTTTATTGTCGACTTGTTTTCCATACATAATATTATAATCGTCTCAGTGTTATAATAGACATTATACTCGTGAAACTTATTCACATCAACTATATGATAATATGTTATTAAAATATCATTCCTACTTTAAAAAAACGTTAAATATACATATATAAATAAAAATTTCTTATAATTTATCGCGATGATGCAAAATGTTAATGGGTGTCCATTTGACGGGACAAGAGGGGCATACTAGAGTTACATCTTTAAGTAAATTTGAATTTTTTTTTTTTTTCAATTATTATTTAATCATTTAAACTTTATTTTAACATTATTTTTAATTTCGTACCCCAATTCTTTATAGCTACTTAAAATAAGTAATTTATTTTTGATTCATTTTTAAAATAGAAACACCCGCTTTAAATACACATTCGAATTGAGAATACGTTTTTAAGGAATTCGATACGCATAACACGCATATCGGATTTACCATTTATGAATTATACCTAACAATATTACACCACCTCTATATTAAAATTGTATTTTATTACATTGTTTTATTAAGGGATTAAGGGGACGCTACACGCTCGATTTTTAAGCGGTTGCGTATAGGAAATTTTCAAAGAAAAAAAAACTCGAAAATCTGGCAATCCAAAAAACATTCAGATACGCTAATAAAATCAAAAATGGTCCCGAGTCCTTTTTGCAACTGTATTATTATTGTATAATCGTGATAGTCGCGGGTAACGGTTTTTTACACGAAAACATAAAATACACAGATTACAATCAAAATGCAATTTTCACTTTATATCGAGGAGAACATAATATTATCGGCTGCGACGTCGAAGCGTTTTTATTTTTCTCGAAACTTGACTCCATTTTATTTTATAAGCGTTTGAAAAAACATTCATGAAATAATGTAAGTAATTTATGATTTACCAACTTCTTTCGTAATAGTTGTATCAATAATAATAATAAACGCTCAGTTATGGATAAAAAATGGTTTTTCGTAAGCCTGGTGAAAACGGTGAATTTCTAAACGATTATGGATAAGGTCAAACTGCACACGGGTCAAGAAACAAATAAACACCTCTGTGAAAGGTGCGTTTCAGCAAAAATGTTCAAAAAAATAAACTAAATCATAAAATCATCTTTAGTCCTAAACCTGTAGGTGGGAAGAGAACGAGCGTTTTTAAAACCTTTTTGGACCCAATACGTGCTACAATACCTTCCGCTATTCAATTTAGATGAATAATGCAATGATTCGACTGACTCAACGGTTATGGATCTCTGTTAAAACTTGTTTGCTTAAATTTTTTGTTTTTTTTTTTTTTTTATCAATACGGCGCGTGCGTTTTATAATAATACGTCTATCTTTACAATGTACATACGTGTGTTATCATGAGAAATTAATAACAATATACTTTATGAAAATTATTATTTCCGTTTCATTTCATATGTATTAAAAAAAAAAAAGTTATATATATATATATTGTTTTAAAAATAAAAATCTATTTGATGTAAATGTATGCCTGTATGTGCACATTTTATATTCCTAGCATAAATCCAAGGAGTTGATATTATAAATGAAGTTTTAAAATAGGTGTGTGTGTGTGTGTGTGTGCGCGCGCGGGTGCGTGTGTGTGTGTATGTGTACGTGTGTTTATCCTTTCAGAAAACGCATTTTCGAGCGGTAAACAGCATGCACGATAATATTACGTTTCATAAGTACAAGGGTGTCTATAATAAGGAAATTTAACACGAATGGTATAATGATTCAGACTGCAGGTAAGTATTTTTTTTTCTTTTATAATTTTCTAATTTGACGCGTAGAATATATAAAATAATATTATATACATATATATATATATATATATAATTATAGGAAAAACGATTAAATTTAAAAATTATAAAAATAAATATGAGTACACCGTCACTATACCAGCTATACACTGCAGCTGATGTGATTGAAATTACCGCAAAACGGCCATGTAAATCAATATTCGTAACTCTTTTCATAACATTTGTACTCGTACTATACAATTCACGGTATATTGTGAATACACAAAAGACGGACATACTTCGCACGTAAATGCAGTCACTATTATAGGCGGGAAGTTGGGAAGGTAGAATACAGACGGGAATTTAATGTATATCTGAAGCAAAGATAAACCATTTCTAAGGAAAAAACAATTCTAAACGGGGTTCAGTTGATAGTGTTGATTTGTAAACAACATGAATATGATATTATGGTAAAATAAGTATTAAACATTTTCTTTAATAACATTTGTTTGATATTGTACCTATTTTCCCGTTCTCCCGTTTTTCGTTAATTATCTCCGGTTTTTCCAACATATTGAGAAAATTAAAAAATGACCTTCCTAAAGTACATTTTCAATCAAATTTCCTTTTAGAAAAAGTGCTATCATTGTAAATCGGAGCAAAATGCTGGTTGAAAAGTTGTTCACGGGAGAAAAAAGGCCGTAATACTTTATAATTAATACCTACATTTATGTTATTTATAATACATTTAATTGTACATTTTTTATCGTAACTTCTGTATCTCATTCTCATATAAAATGAACTACGAAAAAACTTATAAGAGTCAAAAATGCTTAATAATAAAAAAAATAGTCAAATCTCATGGAAAATGTAACTTTTATTGAGCATACACTCGCTGTTGACGGGTAAACATTCGAAACTATGCTCAATATGTGTGTAATTTTTGGTCCTAAAAAAATTGCATTACATTATAAGCTATTCTGATAAGAAATATTTTGCGTGCTATCATAATGTAAGTAAAACCCATATCTCCTGCCACAATAAAGAAGGTCTTATATTCAAGGTCATATACTTTTCAACCACCCATAACCAAGTTATACTAAGAGATAAGATTAGTATAGTTGAAAAAAGTGAGATACAAACTTTTTCGTTGTGGCAGATGATATGATAAGAGATAAGAAGCTGAAAAAGTGAGATACCTCTTTATTTTGTTTTGACAGGTGTCACAGTTCATATTTTAATTATTAGATTTTTAATGTAGCGATAAACGCATTGGTTTGACTATGATGTTTATATTTTTTTCTTAACTTAATGTAAACTGTCATCTGAACTTTTCACCTACAACAGTGGTATACCCGTCCACTGTATCTTTTACATTTCAATTAATAATCAGTTAGAATAAATATCATGCATCGCAGTAATCATTTATGATACGAATCGGATTCGAAAATATTTTGTTTAATTACGCGCGTGTGCTTTTTGGAATTGTTACATATTATACGGAGTTATAATTGAAATAATTATACTATTATATATTCGTTTGTCGGGAACAAAATAATATGTAGTTTCGATATTATATTTTATTTTCGATTGCATACCTATATATATTTATTAATATATGCGGACGAATGAATATAATATTGCATATTGTACGTATGTAGATGTACGGGTATATGTGTAGCTTCCCGTATATAAAGTTCAATTGCTAAAGAATTTAAAAAGAAAAAAGAGGTCCATAATTGGACGTGTGCGTGTAGTGTTTCCCCCATCCCCGTCTGTCAAATGATTATACAATATATGTAATATGTATACCTGCACGATCGAAACGGTATTTTACGGATGAAAAAAATGGACAGACGTACTGAACACTCGTGTGTAGACGTGTGTACGGGTTTTTTTTTTTTATATATATATATATATACAATAAAAACATCGGAGCAAAGTCAAGACGAATCTGCTGCGATGAATGCAAATATAATATAATGTTTTATGCATATACGTATAGTATATATATATATTCGAGTGTTTTACCGTTATATTGCGTAATGCCCCGTAAATAATTTGCCTTTGATAATGGTAAATTATATAAGAGAAAAAAAAAACACTTTCTTGTTGTTTGAATACGCAATTCTTCAGTTTTAGCCGCGTTGACGTGCGCGGGCTTATATTGTATTTTTAATATTTTTAATTTGACACAAATAATAAAATGTTTCCCACTCCTAGCACTATGAAAAACACGCAAACCGAATGGACGAAAAGCGGGTTAAGGGGGTCACCGTTACTCCCATATTGCAAAAAGTAGTATTTTTGGCATATTCTCGAAACAACGACTGCAATAATAATATATTATACCTACAGTATAAAACAATGTTGTCGGTTTGATTACCCCCCGCCCAACCCTCGAAAAAATAACTGTACGCCGACCCTGCATAAATGGAATATAAATATATCTTTCATCAGTAGTTAAACTAGTGGAGGTTTCAAGTTCAACCTATTATTGGAGTTTTTTTTTGTGTGTTCCAAAAAATGTTGCGATTATCCACAATAATTAAAGTCGTGCAATATTTATCGATTATAATTGTATTTTAATAGAACTAAATAAAAATACTTAATTACTTTCAGAACACATTTAACCTTAATAACTTTTGGTTGGTAAAGATAATGTATTACTTATTTTTTTTTTTTTTTTAATGTTCTAATTATCGAGTTCAAGTGAGCTTGCTGCTATAAAATTATGTCTACTTGGTGCACTAAAACGCTAATGTTTTGATATTATTTATACTTTTTATAAATAATGTCGAAAACCCCCCAAAAAAAAAAAAACGTCTGGACTAAACACAACAACAATTTCCATTAAAAATTTCTGTTAGCTTTTTACTGTCGTAATTCGGTAAAGCAATACTCGTAGAGACTTGACATTTTCGCATAATATTAGCTTTTTATAGAATTTTCGTAATATTCTAAAGTTCTCAAAGTTGTTTATGTCCATTTGAAATTTTCAAGGGATTTTATTAAATATTCAACAGTTGACTTATATGCATTGTATATAATAATAACCATCATATTAAACATTTACACAACTCTCAATACCGCGTATTTTGATTAACACACTTCCCCCCATGACTACTATTCCTGAATTGACCAACGACTGTATAATATATATTTAATCATTATATATATATATATGTGTGTGTGTGTGTGTGGCGGTAATCGAATGTATAAATGCGGCGGCGATGGTAAAGTCGAGCTAAAAAGTTTATGACTAGAAGACATATAAATTATAATTAATGAAATATAATTATAATATGCTTTTCGAACTATGATAATATTTGTAAATACAAATCGTATTAAAGCATATTATTATGATTTATGGCGTACATTAAAAGGATATTGTCAAGGGTACTATAATATATAATATATTATTATTATAAAATTATAGATTATTATATTATTATTGTTATACTTATACATTATAATTAGAGGCCGTTATACGCACGGTTTTGACCGTATCAGTATTGAACGAAAAGATATGTATACATACAAACGCGTTTTCTCTTTTAGGCAATTTATAGTGCAGTATATATGTTTATATATTTATTTAAATTAAAAATAAATGAAGTTTTTATCTATCGCGGAATACCTCTATAGTCGATATAGCAGATAACTAGGTACTGTGTAAAAAAAAAAAAATAACACATTTTCGAGATTACCAATTTTCTGGGATGCTAATTTGATCTGTTTCACGTGCACTTTGTAAATGCAATTTTACTAGCGAATAAACGAGGTTGCTAGGATGCGACGTTGCATTCAGGATTCAAACTAAATCACCATACCTTATATTTATATTTATATATATATATCTATATACATATTCATCACACCGTTCGACTTACTACGGTGACTTATTATTCATGAGTGGTATTTTTAACTTGTATAAGTATATAAGTATACATTGATATACCATCTATTTAATAATAATCGTACAAAATATATAGTTACCACTAAAAATAATTACCTATTATTTACATAAGAAACTAATGGATTAAAATGAAATTCGAGGCCGTAGGTTTCGCAAAATAACACGAAACTTGTATATTATGATATAGTATGTATGTTTTATCTATGCATATATTACATACACAATATAGATATAAATTATTAAAATGTGTTCAAATTTTGTATTTTTCAAATTTTTCAATTATATTATAATTTTATGTGAGTATATTATATATATACTTAATATATATTAATATCGGTAGGTACTTATACATATAAATACACCATTGGATAACAAGGTTTTTTTTTTTTTTTATTTACCAATATAGTACTTCTAAAATGGGATTATTTCAATCGTAGTAATATTATGTGTATATAAAACGTGAAATCGACGACTTGTCTACCGAACTCGTATATTTAAGCACCGTTTTTTCTACCAAATACACGGATTCGGTAACACATTATTCGATAATGCTGTAAAATAGTTATGTATAACGTTTACAAACAATTGCTAATTTCCAATAAGTTAATAGTTCTGTTTAATACGCATTAGTAGTACAAAAAAAGATATAGGTTAATACGCACTGAATAATAAGAATTATTTCAGCTAACATAAAAGTTGTATTTTTTGCACAACGGGATCTCAAAGCCATGCGATTTTACTTTAACCACGTATAACAATAACAAGAGAGTGTAATTTAAAAAAAAATCTTTTATTCCGAAAATTACGGAGCGCTACTACAATATCCCAATGGCTGCTGTGGAAAATTACGTTGCGATGTTATTTTCATAAGCATACAACGTACAAATGAGTATCATTCTATACCCGCTTATATACTTTATATTTATAACATGTTATATTATAATTAATGTTTCCCCGAGTTAAAACGCGAAAATATGCGCTTACTATAATATAATTATTGAAAAATAACATCAGCATTAAAAATGTAAATAGACCTGCAGGTATATTTCAGTACGACCCTTACGGGAACAATAAATGGGTTTTCTTTATAAAATATAATATATTATAATGGTATGATATACTGCGCGATATTATTACTCATTGTCGTTTTCCTCTCTGAAATTACTTCGTTCCGTATACAACAGCATCACGCGCGTTATTTTCATTTAAATAACGCGACAATGTAACGATCCGGATGTATGCATGCGCACGAATACCTTCAATTCGTTTATGTGTAGGTACTTTGAAATGCATTTTCTATGAGACGGTTTTCGCACGAGATCGACGAAAACAACCACGACGTGGAGCGTGAAAATTAAACAAATAATAATAATAATATTAACTCACACCGGTGTTACTTTTAATACAAAAGTTATTACAATAAGACGTGTTTTAAATATAATACTCGTATGGGTAAATTAGTTTTAAAATGTCAAAAATTGAAATATGCCGAATCGGGGCGTTTTCTAAGGCAGTTTTCTGTGTTGTATATGGACAGTGGTAAATTTAACATGAGAACAAATTTAATTTTATATGAAAAATATTCGCACTAGGGGAGTGGGGGATGGATAACTGGAGAAAGTCCAATGGTTTAAGAGAAGCTTTAGTATAATAGGACGTTTTCTAAGGGAAGGAAGAGTGGACATTCACTATAACAATGTTCAGGATATTAAACCATTGTTGTGTACATATGGATGTCGGGCAAATTTATAGGATTTAAGATAGGTATCTTACCCAAATTAACAATTAATTTAGTTTTTAAAATCGAAAAATGATTTTGAGTGATTAGCTTGAAGATTACCTTGGTAAAATGGTAAGGTTAATGTAGTGTTTTAATTCTCATTGTAACCAAGATAACTCAGAAATTAAAAAAAAAAAAAAATAAAAAAAAAATACTACATAGGCATCGTCATAGTTTTACTCTGTTGACGATTTCTTAATTTGTTGAAAACAATTTTGAGAATTTAGAAAAAATATTTAAAATAAATAAAGCGCCACTGGTTTAAAATTCCGCATCTTTCAAGTTGTATGCGTATTAAATTGTATATTTCACAGTCATGTTTGATGGAATTTCAATTTTGTGTAGACCGTATATTATGTTGAACTAATAAATTCAACAATCTACCGACAAAATACGGAAATTATTGAATGATGAGTACTTGGAGGAAGGTACTTATTCATACGTATATGGTACACTTCAATACAAACTACATGTATGCTGAAATATTATTTTTAACATTAATGTTATGTGAAAACGTTATTGCATTCTAAACCAATCTCAGTGTACTTAATTACTAACTACACAATATTATTAAAATAATAATATATTTAAAATTTTCATGTTAAATTTTTTTATAATAACTTATAATATAATTTTAATTGAATTTCTATCGCTTTAAAGTTTATAAATGGGTAGGTAATAATATGTCTGTTAGATTTAATGTTTTTATTGAAAACAACATAATGTTTCTGGTTCTATATAAAAAAAGGCATAGGTAAAACGTTTTCTGAACCTACCAATTAAAAAATAATAATAATATTTTAACGACGGATATCACACGAGTAGGTGAACAATAGTGTAGTAGCATGACATTAACATTAGACATAAACACACGCGACAGTAACGGTCAAATGATTTTGCCATTAGGGCCTAATTAATTTAAAATTATTATTATAATATCGTATATAGAAGAAAATAACATGATCTGTATTTTATACCAAAATGTCTACCTAAAAATGTATCGATTATCTAGTATTCGATAATAAAATGTATAGCATACAAATACGTAACAAATCTGTAGGTTGTGAACGTTTCATTGTTAGTGGGCCAGGTAATATTATACAATTATGCTACATAATTATAGCAACAAAACACGGTTTCAATTTTAAATTATCGTACGTAGTATTAAAAGAATAATCAATTTGAATTCTGGTAAAAATTAAAAATGCATATGGTTTACCGCCTACGATGGTGTAAATTACGTAATATTATCTCTATTTTGATGTAAATTACAGACGTATTTCAAAAATGTTTGTGCAAATGACACGTTTTGTTTATTGTAGGTAAATTATGGTGCAATAAATACAATATATGTATATAAATATTAAAGGGGAAAAGGTCATGGAGGGGAAATAAAATCCTTATCCCCCTCCGTTTGATCACCCTGAACTAGTTCTCTCTGAACACCTTCAAACAAACGAAGTCAATTTTAAAATACAACTAATGAGTAACGTGACTATTAACGAATTTTTTTTCATTATAGTTACTGGCCAGTTTTGCACACACCGTTGATGTCTAATTGGTGATTTCACAGGCGATTTCACACAGTTATATTCTTGAAGTTTTATGTTGATTATGTTTGAATAATATACACTGCGCGTAGCTCCGTACCCCTTCCCCCTAATAATAAATAATATCATAATAATGATAATATAATATTCTCGAAACTCGAAAACATCAAGTGTATGAATAAAATGCTGTTCGAATTGACATACAAATATTTCATAGGCGACGTAAATTATTTATCAAGACGTAAACTAGAAAATTTAAGTCACCCTCGTAGGTATACAATTTATGACGGCTATTGTACACTCAAGTGGAAATAAAAAAAAAACAGACATCGCAATGCTTGCTGCACTTACAATTATTGGAAAACCGGAGGCATCTGTAATAATATAAATGTTACCTACGAGTCTTATTTACAAAAAAAAAGTAAAATTAATTTAATAAAACAACTAAGCTATGTATTATAGCGTATCTATATTATTATAAAGTATAACTTTACATTTAATTTAAATTAATGGCACAGATCCAATATTAAAATGGTTGCGTACCTAAACATAATAGCATAATAGGTAATTAAAAAAAAATTTTAATTTTGAAATCCTCATCCAAATAAATTTGAAAGTGATCCCGTGTGTAATTATCACGAGTATTTCGAGTCATGTGTATAATTATTAAATTATAAAAAGAATAAAAACGTTCACTCAGTAAACAGGAGTATAAAAAAAATAAAAATAAAAAAATATCGGAATTTCAATAATAACACTCGCCTATCTATTTCAAACATCGGAATATCCGATATTAGAATAAAAAAAAAAATATCGGCTCACCACTACTTTTCAAGTATTATGTAAATTTATTAAAGATAACGACAACTTTATCCATAGGGATGATTATTCATTTC